TGCTCCCGACCAGGTTAGGTTCACAGAGTAAGTTACTATGGTAACACCCCAGTAATAATAACAAAACCAAACAATAACAAAAGGGATAGTACAAACTAAATACTAAGCCAAACAGTATTTACAAGTTAAAAATAGTATTTTGTAATGTTTTTATTATTATTATATAGAATATTGTTTTACATTTTTAAATAGTATTTGGCTTAGTAGTATATATGTTTATCTCCATTTTACTTTAATAATAATAATTAATAAAAGGTGTTGCCCAAATCAAATATTTTGTTACTAAATATTATATTGTGAAATTCATGTATATTCACTCAAATTATTATGTTGCTGACAATATAAAACATAATGAAAATGCAGCATAAATGCATTTTCACTTATGGTCTCAGACTTATGGACCCCACTTAACTGCATAAATCTGCATAATTAGTTTAATTCTACTCTTCATTCATTTTCAAGGCTCTTGTTTGTGTCTTTCATGAGTCTGTGCTTGTGCGTGAGTCGCTGGACGCATCAGAATCTTGTTTGTGAGCGCATCGAAATGGATGCACCTATACCTCAGATCAATAAAACCGCAAATTGTGGTGGCAAACAGACCCGGGCAGCCTGCCTCAGATGGGGTGGGATCCATTTATGTTGCCCCCAAGAAAGGAGCTCTATGTTGGGGGAGGCTTGAGTTTCTGCTAGGGGTTTTCTGCAGTCTCCGTGTTTCGGGGAAAGAGAATGAGATCGATAAAGTGCTGTAGGAGTATATCTCCAGACCTTTCCCCGTACCTCTTTCCACTTTTATATTTCATTCAATGTGTTTTTGCTCTTACAGTAGTTTGCCTGTAGAAAAGCTTTGTGACATTATAAATGTATTTACAGTCATTTTTGATCAACTTAAAGTGTATTTGCTGTTAATTTTTATGGTTTCCATGTTAATATTAAGCTTCAAAAACTGTTCAACATTAATAATAATAAAAATCAGAAGACTGATTTTGAAGTAATGTAATGGAGACTGAAGGAGTAATGCTGCTGAAAATTCAGCTTTGCATCACAGGAATAAAT